CAAAGAGGCTCTGGTTCGGTTAACAGTCCGATCCCATGTTGCATCGTCATTTGTCTGTGCATCAATGTGCGAGTGTATTTTCTTTTTGGGACCTGTGTAATGTGAGCTAACAGTATCCAACTGCCTCAATGTGGTATGTATGTGTATGTGTATGTGTGAAATTGTCACATCAATCCTGCAGAAGCGCTGGCAGGTTCAGGAGGGGGTGTCACACCTCCCAGGATCTTTGATGCTTTACGGAACCCAAGGGAAACACATTGAGTCAGGCTGGAAGATTGAAATCTGCCCACCTCTCCTCACTAACACAAAACATGCCCTCATGTTGCAAAAGCAGCTCTGTATGTTTTCTGTGTGCCTCAACTTTTCTTTTATACACTCATAAAATCAAAACATGACAACACTTCTTATTCATGTGTGTTGCATAATCTTCAACTGTTTTCTTTCGAAGTGCATTTACTTTTGAGATAGAGAGAGAGAGAGAAAAGCCATCTGTGAGTCTCTTCATATCAACTATAAAGATATGCTAATGAGGCTGGGGGAATCTTTTAGATGTGGAAGGTTGAAGAAAACAAGGAGACAATATCACAGCAGCAAGTGCAGTTTGACAGAGAGAAGGCAGGCCTGCTGTGTAATAATGTATGATTCTCTGCTATTTTAAGATTATGGATTGCTAAACCTAGATTTCTTTGGGGAAATCTGGCTGACAGTGCTCAGTGGAAACTGTGCACTTGGTAATGAGGCGGCCTCCTGATCAGTATTATAGCTAGACTAGGTGGAAGAACATGTATCTGTTCGGATTTGGTGTCATTCTTTCTTTGCTGGAAAAGAGGTTGGATGTTTTTGTCCATCAATTAAAATCATAATATAGCAAATAATCTCCTCATGATTTTCAACTCAAATGCACAGTATATAAAATATTCAACAAATGTCAAGTTTCAGATCAAAGTTTAGATTCAGAAGAAAGTTTTGTCGAATGGTCATGAAGCCAATACACTAACACATAAATAAACTAAAACTATGTACTTTGTTTGTTGACTTCTTGCCTTGAAGTAACGAGGCTTTAGAGGTTGCTTAGCTCTCTGGCTTATGAAATGGATGGAAAAAAAGTGCAACAATACTACATTTGGAATAAAAGGAACTCCAAGGCAAGATTTCCTTAGTTCACACTATTGGGTATAATATTCTTTAACTCCTTTAACTCTCATTTGTGCAAAAATGATAGAATTGCAATTAAAAAGATAGGAATCATGTTGATGGCTTTTACTTTCACTGAATGTCTGCAAACACTGGATCCCTCTTTAAAGAATTTGACACATTATTTCCAGTTTAATCTGCCTTCTTTGAGTGTTTGTGCATTAGTCATCATCCAGACGAAGGTCTAATGATATATTGGAGAGTCTTAAAATCCCTCTCACACACTCAGGATTTTAGAGCTGTTTACACAAAATTGACCTGACGAAAATGCAAAGAAAAATATATAAATCGACATGTATTTTCTAACCAAATACATAATTTTAGCCTAGCTTTCAGTGTAAATGGAAGATTATTTATTCACCAATCATGTTTATGTCCCATCAGGACGTACAAAGGGCTCATTAAGAGAGCTATCATGCTTTTATCCATTTAATTAAAAGGTCAGATCTGAGGTGAAATAAATCAATGCCAAAGATGGCAGCTTGTAGAAGTCATCTCACTGTGAAGGGCTAAGGACTAATTTCTCTTTCGGCCGGGATGCAGCCAGAGATCATAAGAGACAGCAAGGACAGAGAAGGGTCTGATTAGGCTCAGCAGAGCTGGTTTACCAAACAGAGCCAAGAGCAGCACTGATCCCATGATGACAGAAATCTGGATTATTGCAGCTCTCATTTGAATCCCCTTACATCACAGCACTCTGAATCTGTGTCTCTCTACTCCGCTCTAAAACTGGGCCTTCCCCGTGGTATTAAGGTATTAAGGGGCAGTATGATGGATAAAAAGACTCTGTCCTCCAACAGTAGAATCACCTGCTGATTTTTTGTTAGCTCCACCCTGGATCACAGAAGGTCCTAAATTCAATACATGTGTTGACCCCGCACTCTCACCTTACCTTTTCTACCTACAAGTTAAAAAGACGTGGTGCCATTATTTAAAAAAGAAAAATAGAACCCCCAGCAAACGTCACTGCTAAGCTGAGCTATCCTCGTCGTCAATGTAGTATGGTAATGGTTTATATTCCAATTAATTTGTAAGGAAGCATCACAACTTTACTAGATATCTGATAACAAACTAAGGAAGTTAATATACTCTGATTGGCCCTGCTATTATCATTTTTCTTTTATTGCAGTTATTTTTGCCCTGACAGATTTCACATTTTCACAGTAATTCTATGGGGCATATTTAAACCATCTGAACGTGCATATTGAGTGTGCACAGGAAATGAAAAAAGGCACAAGGAACATAGGGGTTGTTTTTTGTCCATCAATCAATTAGGCATGTTTTGAACATAGCATCATTCAAACCTATCAGTGTGTCAGTTCCCATCCTTTTGAAACGAGTTGAACCTGCCCCTGTCACATTGCTTTTTTTCTTTTTAAATGGTAGAACCAGCAAGGGTTGTAATTCTAGGATTTCTTTGCAGAGGAAATGGATCTGCTCATGCATGGAGTTAAAACACACAAACAAACCATCAACAGGAACAGCAGGAATCCACCAAAGAAATCTAAGCAATGTATTATATATTCTGCCTCAAGAGATAGTAATGTGGCCACAATAAATCCCTCAGCCACGAAGACGAAGAGTTGCTACTTACAATGTGGGATGATGTGGGAATTCACTTGAATGTATACTGTCAGGTTACTCCACTTCAGGGGAAGCAGGGGATGAAAAACATTTTCACAGTAGAAAATACATTTTTAAGTGTTTTTGTTCACCGTTTTCTCGGGCGACCTCATGCATACATGGAAACTTCTTATTTTGTGCCAGTGGGTTTACACATTTGACTAAATTGTGTTAAGCAATTGAATTTCCATGCTACATTATGATGCCGACAAGGAAACACAATAACGCACAAAATACTGGCTGTGGATTATTATAAGTTTTCAGATAATTGCAATCTCCAAGGAGAGCAGCAGAGAGAAGAAGCGAGGGAAACTACAGTACAAATGAGTCCTCACACAGTTAACAGCATATGTGATAACAGATGAGCCCGACTTCACAGCCTGACATCAATTTACCCCCTGACTCCGGGGTTAGCTATCAGTTCATTCTCAGTGTGGTATCACAGAGTCAATGTACACATTAATTGAACTGCTCTGGCTTTTGATGATTTATAATAAGTTATGGCACTGCCAGATTCTTTGTCCTTGTCTTCATCTTCAAAGGATTTAATCAAAATAAGCGAAGCGTAGCATGCCGGCAGACTGAGCACACATCACTGCACACCGCTGGATGTCTCAAAATTCAAGTGCAGCAATCTCCCAAAAACTTGTCTAGCACTGAAGTTCCCTGAATGAATCATAACAGCCATGGATTTCCCATATCCGTGACATGCAGATGGATGGAGAAGCATTTTGAGGCTGATTACAGACCCAACAAAAGAGTGAGTTATGGCTCTGAAGTCAGAGCTCCGTTCAGACTCCATAGGGTGTCACGGCCTAAAACCCTCAAATAAACAGCTCTGTCCTTTATGCGTAATCTCTTAACAGAAAAAGGTTGGTTTCAAAATGAACAATAAATATGAAATAAGTAGACATATAGAAGTTGGTTGATGACATATGATATTCGTCGAGTGACTACAATAACACTGTCTGTGATACACACTCTCTTTTCAATTCCTCTCTCTCTCTCTCTAGGAGGATGGAGCTGTACCAGAGAGGATGAATATTCTAGCAGAATATTAATAAATGATGAAGGGAGGCAGTGTTGGGAGCCTCACAACACTTTGGATTGCTCAACTGTTGTTTCTTTCATCCTCTCCCACCCATGTACAGTATATCTTCAGTGGGATTCTCCCATGATGCTCTGACTCCTCCTCCATCAGCAAACAAGCTACACGCTCCCTCACTTTCTCCTTGGTTTCTTTTCTGTCCTTACTTCTAACCCTTTGCCTCAACCACAAATGATTTTGATTATAGACTTCTTGACAGTTAGGATATTGTTAACATCTGTACATATGAAAACTATCACAAGACGTATGAAACTAACCAGATTCCACAGAAACAGATTCAAATAACACATCAGCAGTAGAGTTACAAATATGGTTGTTAAAAGCAGTGTTTCCCACACATACAGTAGATAATACATGGGCGGGCAGTCACATTTTTTAAAATCCATATATAAATCCTATTTCACCAAAAAACTAGCAGACAATCTGCACTCTCTACCTGCAGACACATACTCTGCAGGTAGAGACAAAAAGATATCTGCTGTTACTTCCCTTCTTAAATTTTTCATTGACATATGGGGCAACATCTCAAATTAAATATGAACCTTCTTTTGCCGTTGTTTCCATTACCTAGTGGCTGCATATTGTTCTTTAGAGAGGAGTTATGTTTGCATTGGAAACACTACATTGAAAAAAGAACATTACAGATATGAGCTTCAATACAACTGTAATTACCAACAAAAGTCATCTTGCCACCTTGCCAAATTCATCTCAACATAAAAAAACAGCAGAATGTGCTCCTTAGATTTGTTTTTATTCTTTCCCCTCGTCATTTCCTCCCTTTAGTTTTTCTTCGACAACACAATGATATTACTCAGAGGACAGCCAGGCAAGGAGCTCCCCAGGGCTCGGAGGTGGCTGTGTCATCAACAAGTTTGACTTCACCAGCAACATGCAAGATTGGTCAAAGGTCATTGAAATAGTGTTATCAAATTCTTTTATGCAAGTCTGAACTTTCTCTAAGATTCGGAAGAATTTTCGCTGGTTTTGATGTGGCATTTTTTAGAATGCCTCCCACACTCGGAAGTACAACATTATAATGTAAAAAACCTGTCAAAGCACAGTGAGGCTAACTTACTGGTATCCGTAGGTAGGCAGAGCAGCTCTACTGTTTGCTCCAGGCAATGACCTAAAAAAACAAAAGGAGAGAGAGCGTCAAACTGAGCATCAAACTGACAACCCACATAAAAGACACAGTTCTGCATGAAGATTGAACTTTGATTGCTCTCCACTGCCTGAATATGAAGAGAGTAGAAGGGGCCATGATAAGAACAGGAACCTGTGCATCAATGTGTGACCTAATTAAAGGTCCCATATTATGCTTTTTCTGGTTTTATATGCCCTTTAGTGTGTTTTCCAAGTGTCTCGTGCATGTTTAGGCACATCTATGTGCAAAAATTCAAAGTCTGCGGAAACGCGGCTTCTCCTACGTCCTCCTGTTAGCTGTAGCATTAGCCGCATGTAACGTTCGGTTCTAGCCCCCCTCGATAAAAATTTGTCAGTGCGCTGTCATTGTCAGTGTGAGATCACTGATCTAAGCCCATTGGCTCGTTGTGGCAAGCCCAGCAGCTCATGTTGAAATTTCCGAGAAGCCTGCTGAGCAACTGACCAATAACGACAGAGCGGATCAGCAGACCAATCAGAGCAGACTTGTGTGGGCTCAACAGAGCGTAGCTGACGGACTCAGAGCGTAGAAGGAGCAAGGAGGAGCAGTACATGAAAACAGACACTTTTTTCGAACTTTAGCTATTGTGAACGTACAAAAGTAAAATTTACAAATCCTGTAAATGTCCTGAAACAGATTAGCCATAATTTAATAAATTAAATCTTTATACAAGAATTATATAAAAAGTTCTGGATATTATGTTGACTAATGGAATATAATATGAAAATAATAAAGGAACATGAAGTAAAGGAAATGAAAGGAAAGTTAAAGGTTAGTATAGCAAAGGCTTAAACAATATGTTAATTACAGCAGTATTTAAACTTTTTGTATATAACTTGCAATAATATAGTCAAACAAATAAACAAGGGGTGCATTGTTTGAGACAGAAGTGTGGCTACTCCAGAGTGACTGGCCCAGAAAATATTTTAGGGCAGGAGTTGGAGCAACTCACATGAATCGGCTACTTTAGCTGAGCTTTATTCTCCCTTACAGCTTTTTCTTTTTACCATCTGCCACAAAGCCCGGGACACATGTCACATCCTATCCTCACAACCTGAGCCCCCCTGTGACAGCCTCAAGTTGCTGTCCCCTCACAGCGGTGAGATCAGCTCAAACAGGTATCCCACCAGCAGCATACTGTTGGTTTCAGTATAATAGCTCTTTTACTACAGCCAGTGGGGCCAAGTGGTGAAGTAAGGAGGGGGTAGAAAGAGGAAGGTTTAAGATGCCAAATGCCAAACAGTGTTGCAGCACCAAAAACATAGAAGTAACCAATGAGTAGATTTGCTTATCTGTGGTTTTGAACGAACCAAAGCCTCAAGTTGGTTTAAATTGAGTTATACCTTATATAAATGTTAAATAAAAATATTAAATTGTACCATATCAGGACACACTATTTTGTAAAGTTATAATGAAGCATTGCCATTACCTCAACCATAAAAGATTTGTATTTATTCTTGTAAATGAAACAAATGTAAAAAATGAATGACGTATTATCATGTACTGTGATACTGAGGCATTTTCTGAATTTTTACTCTGAAACTCTCACACTGTGGCAAATATAGTGCCCAATAACAGAACAGTTTACCTGCCATACTATTACAATGCCACTTGGAAAGATTTCTGTGACATATTAAAAATGTGCTTTAAAACCTTTGTCTTGACCTAAAAACTATCTTATGATGTTGACTCCTTGGCAGAGATGTTTATCTTGCCACAAGTTGGAGAAGGGGAATTAAAAGAGGAACTAAATGGTCTTTTAGAAGCTGCTGATCAAGTCTTGCTGAATCCCTGTCAGGGGAGTACAAAGTTAGAGAGGAAGACAAAGAAGATGCATAATACAACGATAAAATTAGAGTACAGACAACTGTAACTTTGGTGCTTCTGTCTTTAGTAATTTGTTGTCTAACAAATCAATATTATATCTAATTCAAATAACAATATTAACTTATTAACAAATGGATATTCTTGGGTAGGACCAAATCTTCTATTTCGTATGAGAGGTCAATCTTAAAACATTGTGTGGTGTGAAAAGATTTTTGCCTTAATTTAAAAGGCACACTAACATTTTTCAAAGGAGTTACAATGACAGTATATCTCCCATCTAACCACTGCTGTAGCTCACATTGGCTCCCCTCCTGCACAATGCCCAGAGGCTTGAATTGGTCCCACAGGTCCAACTCACGCTGCAGCACACTGCAGCTATACAGAGACAAAACACTCAGCAGATCACAATTGCGACAACCCGTCCAAAAACATATTTAGAAAGAAGATACTCTAGTCTGCTGCAATCTAGGCATCTAAGGCGGATGTTTGGCCCAGTTTCCAGCACCATCTTTTTTTTTTACCATGAAGTTAACAAAACAATGGCTAAAATCAAATCAACAGTGCTCACATGAATAACTTCTGACTGGTTAATTGATGGATCATGCTGCCTTTGCTCTACAGTTCATGTGTATATTTGATTCTGAATATATTGCTGCTCTTCTATCACTTCTTTATTATTTATTCATTCTCTCTTTATTGCTTTTCCCTGTCTTATTGCTTTTCTTCCTATCTTTAATTGTTTCCTTTATTTATTTCCCTATGTCTTGATACAGAGTTCACAATTTTTATTCATAACTGCTAACATTGCTTCCTTTTCTGGCCGTCATTATTCCGCTACCAATGGCATAGATTATTGCTGACTAATCAGTATTCAAGAGCCGCTGTACTGCGCTCTAATTGTTGGCCGCAACCATTGAACTTAGAGACTAGCAGTGCAAGGTCATTAATTTAAATGACTAAAAAAAGAGAAATTTAACAAACCTCTCCCCAGCCGTGTTATGTCAAACTTTCACAGCATAGACTGTATGTAAACATGGAGCTATTCACACATTGCTTTCTGAAGTGGACTTCTGAAGCCCATCGGTGGTGGTCACCATATTGGAAATGCTGTCTCAAAGTAACTTTCTATGAACGTAATAACAAACAAAGAGTTGGAGCGGGCCTTTGACCTCCTGACAAACAGCTACGCTGGCCTGCCCGTCAGTCAGATCAGTTGCACTCCTTATTATGAATAACTTACCCTTCATGAAATCAAAACAGATGTGTTAACGATAAAGTCACCCCCTGCACAGTGTGTGCCAATCAAGAAATGAGCTATTAAGAACAAATCAGCTTTGAACCAGGATGTAAACATGTTTATTTCTGTTGGAGAATTGGTGTGTATGTGCCTTTTGGTGCTTTTGCAGCCAGTCTTAAGTGGACACTCAAGGAACTGCAGTTTATTTTTCCCAGTTCCGCATTTTCTTCATTTTTCAACAGCGGAGATCGCCAAATGATTCAAACACCCTTCAGTGTATCAAAAAAAGAAGAAAATAAAAACGGAAGTCAAAACTCTTAAACATAAAACTTGGTGCACTGGTGTACCAATTATCTGCTTAGAATAGATTTAAAAAATTATAATGCAAGATAACAAGGACTGAAGCTTACACATGAAAAGGCTTTTTGGTCGAAATCACTATACATACATGTGTGCACACAAACAAATACACCCATAACCTAACTGACAGATACACAACACACTTTTGTGCACGCCTACACTTCACCTGCAGGAAATCTATGAACATTGATCTCCACCCTCCCACCCTCCTCTGTCATGACAGGCGGAGGCTTACAGTACCCTGTTCACTCTAAAACCCTGCATAAGCTGTTCTCTGGCATTTTACACCCTGTCAACATTTTTACAAGGTTACTCACTGCCATGCTGTCTTGACCTCCTGTCCCAAAGCAATAACTAAGCTCCCTCTCTGAATTACAGACCTAAGGCACCCAGAGATGGAACAGAGGATGAAATGAGATGGCTAGAAGGCTCAGAAGAGATAAACAAGCTGCTGGTTGTAAACAGTCCAGATGGGGTGTCCTTACCTGCAGCTCTACACATGGTGCTGTTTAGCTTTAAGTGTGAAAGGAAAACAAAACACATACAATGCAACTTGGGTATTATTCCCATAATACTCTTTCAGTATCTACAAATAATATGGGGCACTATATCGTGTACATAAGAGCTCATTTTTAAGTAATACTGTTAACAGCCACAAATCCTCATCATTGTATTTTCAATTTATTTTGTATTCAGTTTAAGAACCCACCTCTTTTTGTTCTCTCATTAGTATTCCTGGACTGAACTCAGCTCACCTGAGACTAAAGCCTGGCTCACACTGCAGGATAATCGGGCCGATTTGAGCTTCGATTCTTCCTTACCGACAATCGCAGGGTTGCTCCCGACTCAAGACTGCTCGGACCCGATTATCTGCTCAGATGATCTTGTAGTGTGAGTGGTACAAAGATCCAATCTTCACGTCCCCAATCTGCCCGGCGACCGTCGGTGACGCCCCGATTTATTTCTAACAAGTTTGATATTTAGAATTTAAAATCTTGACGTTGACGTCACGAAAGGTTCCGGCAGAAGTTGTGTGTGACTACAATATAATCACGAGAGACAAGGGAGGACTGTAGTCATGGCGACCAGCGACAGGACGCAACCCGGTGTCTTTTTTTTTTTTTTTTACTTTTCTGTACAGATCATCAGTGCAGCGCTTATCTGAAACTTGTATCCATATATCTACAATTGTATCAACTTGTCTATATCCTACAACAAGTTCCACTTCCTTCTCTTTCACCAACCGTCGTCCGTTGAGTTTTCAAATGAAACTTTATTAACAATTGTCAACGTTCCGTCCCGATTTCACTCGTACAGTGTGAGCATGTCAATCTCAATCGCTGGTCGGGTGTCGTAAACGATTCAGTCGTACAGTGTGAGCTGACATGCCACCCCGACTTTTATACAATCGGGGAAAAAATCGCACAGTGTGAGCCAGGCTTAAGAGGTCAGCACGGACCGCTCCAATTTCAGCAGGCAACACCAAAGGCACCAAAGGCAACCTGAACTTATTGCTGAGGTGTGGAGAAGTTTATTTTGA